CACACACACACACACACACACACACACACACACACACACACACACACACGGGTATAGCTAGTGTATGGAGGACTTGCCCAGCATGCACAAAGCCTGGGGTCGATCCCCAAAACTAGGGGTGTGTGTGTGGGGGGGGTGAGTTCTTAATCCATGGATAAACTGTAGAGAGCCCACAAACTCTCTAAAGTGGCATTTCCCTCCCCACAGAGAGAGAAGGTTTACAGCTTTGCTAGACCTCAAAGGAACCAAGAATCAGAATTAAGAACTCAATGCTTTAGGAGAATGGCTGCAGTCTATAAAGTCAAGGATTATGAATGGGTTAAAAAGATGTTTCTCTAACAGTAGCACACTAGAATGAGGGGTGGTTAACTCTTCCAACACAAAATAAATAGCTTTATAGGGAAAAAATTCATTTAGGTAGCACTTTGGCTACATAAGTTTTTCTTCCGACTGTTGCCATGCAGCAAAGTTTCTCTGTCAGCTTCCATCTCTAACAAAAACAACAGAAAAAAAAAGACCCCAGTAATTTCAAGCAATACAGAATGATTAATACCCATGAGATGCTATCACATCTGAAATTCAAAGAGGAACAACAAATGGAATTCATTACCCTAAAGTAAATAAGCAAGAGCTTAATGCTTAGACAAAATTATGGTTGGCAACATCATTAAAGATGCCGAATTTGACATTACAGAAGACAACTTCAGAATGTCCTTGAGCTTCTATGGAAACCAATGGGCTGGAATGGACTGTGGACCCCCTCAGAATAGCATATTTTGCTCTCATGTAAGCTGGTCGCCTGGGGCAGTGACCAAAACCCTTTTAAGGTGAGGCCAATGACAGCAAATACCTTTAGAATGTTCTGTGTCTGGATGCAAGACAATGCGGACATATTTAAGGGCTCCAAACTGCTGGAGGAGCTCCCCAACTTCCTCTTCCTCTGAGTCAAAGGACAGGTTTCTACAGAATACAACCAAAAAAGTCATAAGGAAGGTCAACAACAAAATGAGATCCTGTGTTCCAGCACAAAGTAAATGACATCAAGTGTCCTTTCTTCACAACTACCCTTTGTTCAAAAATAGGCCCAATAGATAGGGGTGGCCCTCAGTAGCCAGGCCTCTGCTATATGACTGTGCCCTTGATCCCAACGGACTAACCTTCCTTTCTTGCCCAGGAATCTGAAGCTTAAATAAACATATACAAAGATAAGAAGCTAAAGATGCAGAGTAACTTCAAAATAGTCTCACTAGTCCGGCATGGTGGCACAATACCTTCAATCCCAGCACTCAGGAGGCTGAGGCAGGAGGATGGCTATGAATTCAAGGCCAGCCTGAACTACATAGTGAGACCTTGTCTCAAAAAAAATAAATAAAAAGAAAGAAACAGTCTCACCAGAGGGAGACCTCAGGGTGCTACAAATATATCTATATCATGATCTGGGTGGTGATTACATGAATATATACATATGAAAAATTTCACTAAGCTATACACTTTGAATAACTGACTTTACAGAATGTTATACCTCATTAAAAAGAAAAAAAAAATAGGGGTGTTCCCCAGAAAAAAGACCCGCAGTCCCCTCCAGCAGTGAGGGTCTTTCTTGAGGTCTGCTCTTCAATAATTTTTCTTCTTGGGCCGGGGGTTTAGCTCAGCGGTTCCGGCGCCTGCCTCACAAGCGCAAGGTCCCGAGTTCGATCCCCGGTACCAAAAAATAAAAAATAATAATTTTTCTTCTACGAGACACCCCAGTGTTCATCCAACACTTTTTCACTTGACGTGGCCAAAATTAGTTTCTCTTACTATAGACTTTCTCTTATACAGACTCAGACTCACAGGCTACTAAGTAAAGCTCTCCTTCTCTCTCACCCTCTCTCAGATGTGTTTTCCTGTGAGAAACTCAGATTTCATTAAAAATTTTACAAAAGTCAGAAAATCCTTCAAAGTAACACAAAAGCAACTATGGTAGTTTACTAGCTAATTGAAAAAAAATTAAAACTACATGTACAGTATCTCTAATTCAAAGATTCAAAGCCAAGTGTGGTGGCACACACCTGTAATTCCAGCACTTGGCAGGCTGAAGCAGGAGGATTGCCATGAGTTCAGGGCCAGCTTGAATTACACAGCAAGACCCAGTTAAAAAAAAAAATCTGAAACTTCTTGAGTACTGATATAATGCTGAAAAGTTCTGGATTTTGAAGCATTTTAGATTTCAGATTTTTGGATTAGTGATACAACTCAACTGGTAAAGCCTACGCACATATTTTAAAATCCAAAAAACTCTGAAATCTGTAACATTTCTGGTCCTATGCTTTTCAGATAAGGGATACATGACATATACTTACTTCTTTTGGTGGAATTAAAATGTTGGAAGATTTTGTTTGCCTAAATTTTAAAACAGTGTAGAGTCTTAACTTTGTCATTTTGCTCAGATACTTCCTAAACTTTTTACAATGTATGTAAGTTACTTGTGTAACAAAAATAATCTTAAATGATTCTACAAAAGGATAAAATATGTATCTCTAAAAGCAGACGCAAATGACCCCAGTGCAGTGGAAACAAGGAAAGGATGAAAAGGCTGTCTGAGGTATTCTCAGAATGTCCTGACTGATGAAAATACCAATCTATTGTAGCTGGAAGGGCAGAAACAGAAGCATGCAATAAACCTACCTCACCTCCAATCCCTGCCACCCGTTTTCCTGAACACAGATGCCATGTCTTACTTTATTCTCAACAATGCTTTAAAAATTAATTAAGTATTTGTGAATTATTTATGACTTACAAATAAATGATGCAAATATATAAACCAAAAAAAAAAAAGAAAAAATTAGGCACCAAGAGGCAAATCGTTTGTGAAAAGTGGGTTATCACTCCTGCACTCTCCCTAAAACAAAGTCCAGAACCAGGATTTTTCTAATAGTTGAAGAGTTGATTTGTTCCAATGATACCACCTCAATCATAAAGAATGAAATCTCAGAGGATAAAATACCAAAACCTCTGCTATTACTCATCTTCTGTTTTATAGTTTTGATTCTCCTAAATTTCTCATTGTTTGTAGATTCCTGGGATCAGAAGTGCTAACAGTCTCATGGCATCTAATCTTCTAGGCTAGGAACAAAAATAGGGCCAAAGAAGAAAGCAGGAAGAGAGGGAGGGAGAGAAGGAGAGGAAGGACAGAGAGGAGGGGGAAGGAGGAGGAAGGGAAGAGGAAGGGGAAAGGAGGGAAGGGAAGGGACAAGAGGAGAACAATGCAAACAGTAGCTCTTGAAATAGAAGGCATACCTGATAAAAACAGTTTTCCCTTCACTCACATCAGAGGGTAATTTCTTCTTTTTCTTTGAGATTCGCACATCTAAGATAAGAAGAAAAATAAACTGAAAAAGACTAGTGCAAATCATATGACAAAGGACTAACTTCTTAAATCTTAAATAAGATTCTGCATAAATTAGTTTTAAGAATAATTTTTAGATGGACAAAGGATAAACAACTAAATATATGTAAACTCATCATTCAAGAAAAACAGCCAAGCTGGGTGTGGTGGCGCTCGCCTGTAATCCCAGCATTCAGGAGGCTAGAGCAGGAGGATTACTGTGAGTTTGAGGCCAGTCTTAACTACATACCAAGGCCCTATCTCAAAAACATCAAACAAAAAAAGGGAAAGAGAAACAGCCAGACACAATGACACATGCCTGTAATCCCAGCTACTCAAGAGGGTGAGGCAGGAGAATCTCAAGTTCAAGGCCAGCCTCAGCAACCTATTAAACCCATCTCTAAGAGGGCTGGGATTCTGGGGTCAAAATGGCGAGCAGGCCTGCTGTTGCAGCATCAGGCCAGTGGCTGGATGGTATTCAGAAATGGTGTTACAATGCTGCAGGATTCAACAAGCTGGGCTTAATGCGTGATGATACAATATACGAAGACGAAGACATGAAAGAAGCCATAAGAAGGCTTCCTGAGAACCTTTATAATGACAGGATGTTTCACATTAAGAGAGCATTGGACCTGAGCCTGAAGCATCAGATCTTGCTGAAAGAATAGTGGACAAAATATGAGAAGGATAAATTCTACCTTGAACCATATCTCAAAGAGGTTATTTGAGAAAGAAAAGAAAGAGAAGGGGCAAAGAAGTAATCACACAGTTGAAAGCTGTGGATGCAGCTGTCTTCAAAATATTTTTATGAACTTGATTAAGCCTGAAATATAATTTTAAGAATTATTTAGTCTTCAGAATCCTACTTTAAATAAATGTCTGAAAAATCAAAAAATTAAAATAAATAAATAAAAATAAAAAATAAAAGAGGGCTGGGAATGTAGCACAGTGGTAGGATATTTGCATGGCACGCATGAAAAGAAAAAAAAAAGTAGTACAGGAGCTGGAGGTATAGTAGAAAGGAAATACTATTTTTCACCCATAAATTGGCAAAACCAAAAAGACAGATGGAATATAATGCAGTAAAAAGTGTGTAGCTATTCATGGTAGCGTGTACCTATAATCCAAGCCAGCACTCCAGAGGCTGAAACAAGAGTATCACCATGAGTTGAAGTCCAGCCTGGACCAAAGTGAGGTCAAGGCCAGTCCAAACTACACAACAAGACCCTATCTCAAAAAAGCAAAAAAAAAAATTTCTTTTAATTTAAAAAAGTGTAAAAAAAAGATATTCTCATATACTGCTATGACAGCATAAACTTTCTGAAAATATAAAATATGTAGAATTTTTGAGGACAAAATATACCCATACACACATTCACACACACACATACACTTGCATTGTGTTCATGTATATATGCATTTGTTTTGCCTATAACTGTGTTAAGACGTTTTCTGGACACATAACAAATATTAACAATGGTAGTCTCTGGGGATGTGTCCCATGAGCCTGAGGATCTGGTTATTAAGGAACATTCGCTACTTGTTTTGAAGAATAAACATGTGTGCTTACATGTACACAGAACATTTCTGGAAGGTTACATCGAATAACACCAGTTACTTGTGGAAATTACTGGACAGATTGGTGAGGAAGTTTTGATTTCCTATTAAACCCTTCTGCATTGTATTTTTTAACTTTCCCTCATTATCAGAAACCAGTCCCTCAAAAAAAAAAAAAAAAAAAGGGCCAGGGATTTAGCTCAGTGGTGCTGCCGCCTGCCTCACAAGTGCAAGGTCCTGAGTTCAATCCCTAGTACAAAAAAAAAAGTCCTTTAAGTTTTCAAGTGAAAGAATGATAAGAGACAGCTGAATCTGGGGAATCTCATAGTAGCATCACTGGAAAAGCTTTGATTCTAAGGTATCTACTACCATTATCCTCACAGAAAAAGCTTATTTCCTCAGATTTTTTATACAGTCAAGCCAGCAAATCAGGCTTACAGAACTGGGAGCAAAATAGCTGAATAAAAATCTCTAACCAGACAAATCTGGCCACTAATTGGCCATTTCTCATTCTGTAATGAACTGCTTTCCTCAATAAATGAGTTTATTCTCAATAAACGTAGCAATAGGGACTGGTAATAGTTTTACAAAATGCTCCCAGATGTCCCTGTTATGAACTGAACTGTGTCCCTCCAAAATTCATATACTGAAGGCCTAACTCCCAAAGTGACTATATCTGGAGGCAGGGAATTGAGAGAGGTAATTAAGGCTAAGTGGGGTCATACGTGGAGCTCTATCCAATAGGAGTGGTGTCCTTATAAGACCAAGCTTGTTCTTATTCTTTCTGCCCCCTGAAACACACAGGGAAAAGCTACTGAGGACACAGTGAGAAGACAGTAGTTTGCAAGTCAGGAAGAAAGCCTCCCTAGGGACTGAATCAGCTAGCACCTTGACCTGGGACTTCCACAACTGTAAGAAAGTACATTTCTCTTGTTTAAGCTGCCAGTCTGTCATGTTTTATCATGGAAGACTGAGTTGACTATCCAGTCCTTTATTCCACCTCAACTCAAAGGAGCTGTTTAAAATCTACTTTGGTGTTAATGTGTAATATATACTATTTATCCAGTATTCAATCAACATGGACAATCAAGAGAGAAAGAGGTTAAAAAAAAAACAAAACAGAGAAAGAGGTAAACACCGCAGCATTAAGGGAGGTTTTAAATTTCCTAACAGAATTTTAATCCTCAAACACCACTCCAAGCTCATTTAAAAAACAAAACAATAAAGCAACCAAGCAAAACAACTATAGAAGAAAGGAATATAAAGGTTTCTTTTTAAGTATTTAAACTAAGTTTGATAGAATTTAGGGTCCTACTTAAAAAGAGGCCTGACAAGGACCCGAGCTCGATCTCCGGTACCAAAAAAAAGATTAAAATTAAAAAAATTTTTAAATATATAAATAAATAAAAAGAGGTCTGAAACCAAGCATGGTAGTAAATGCCTGAAATCCCAGCACTCTGGGGGACTGAGGCAAGAAGATCACAAGTTGAACTAGTAGTCCAGCATGAACTACATAGCAACTTAGTGAGACCCTGTCTCAAAATAAAAAATAACAAAGGATGGGGATGTAGCTGGCCCTGGCTACAATCTAGAGGCCCTGGGTTCAATCTAGAGTATGCCAAAAACAAAAAAGGTGGGGGAGGCAGCTGAGCACAGAATTGATGTGCATTTCTCAGTAACACATTTAAAGACCCAGGCAAACCTTTATCCTCTTGTTCTTCAGCACTGCTGTCACTTGGTACCAGTTCCTCCTCACTATCAATGCTACCTCTTTCCTCCAGGTCAGTGTCCTCATGTGAATCATCTTCATCGCTGCTTTCTACAGGGAATGCTCTCTTGACTGCTCTGCAATGGCACAGCCAGAACAAAGGGTGTGACACAGTGGCTACTCAACTTCACAACACATGTCAACTCTGCAGCGGAGGGGGCTGGGAAGACAGGAGGGTTTTCCTATCCCTGACAGGCTGAGCAGCTTACCTCTTCTGAACATGCACATGTTTGGTCACCTTTGATTCTTTATTCTCCTCCTTCTCTTCATCCTCATCACTATCACCATCATCACTATCAACCCCAACATCAACATCTCCATCATTATCTTCTTTCTCTTCTGCTCTGCCATTCTTTTTAACTGACCCCTGATGCTTAAGTTCAAAGCACTTCTCCTCACCTATGGTGGAAGATAGAGAAAGTTAGCAATCCATTTAATATCCAAAACAAGGTTATTTTGACAGGAGTAATACTCCAAGTTTCTACTTTGTTCAGTTTTTTAGAATTTCATGTATATTTTATTGTACAGTCAGCACTCCATATCTACCAGTTCCACATCCTCAAATTCAACCAAAGATCAAAATTATTTTTTAAAAATTTCATCTGTACTAAACATGCAGACCTTTTTCTCGTCATTATTCCCTAAACCATTCATTATAACAAGTACATACATAGTACTACTTTGTATTAGAATTATAAGTAATCTAGAGATATTAAAAGCATACAGGAGAATGTGCATAGGTTCTACACAAACCTACACTATTTTATATAAGGAATTTGAGCACTCAAGAATTTTGGTATGTGAGGGGAGTCCTGGAACCAATCCCCACGAAATGATTACATGTAAGAGAAAGTATGAGAGAAAAAAGAAAAAAACAAAACCAAAGCCCTCATTGCCCAGATTCCTTTGAAGTGTATTCCATTCATCAAACACCTGAGGTTAACCTGCCCCAGGGTGAGAGAAATAGCAATTGAGCCTCTGCAAACAGCACACCACCTGTATAACACAGTCAGCATAGTGCTCACCCTGAGGCCTTCCCACAAACTCTGATCTCAGCAAGTTCTATTCTCCCAGACCCCAGTGGCTTAAAAGCCAATTGTTTTCTAAATAAAACTCAAGTTTTAAGTTTCTCTATTCTTAATGTTTCACCACTCCTATGAAAAGCTGGAAAAGGAGAACGAGTGGAAGGAACAATGAACTCAGGCCTCTCTTCACTCACAGGCACACCCTAGGAGTAGACTAGGACCCAAAAGATACTATGTTTTGGCACTAGATTACCAGATGGTCCAATACAGATTGACACATGGCCCCGGGCTCATTTCTGAACCTGCAGGAATCCAGTTTTTCCTACATGCTCTATCTTGTTTGTTTGGCTAATTTTGTGATTTGGCTAATTTGGTGATACCCCCACTCTCTTACAAGCAGGTTCTCTTTTAACATAAATACAAGACTTGGTTCCACACTCTTACCTCTTACCTGACACTACCGTACCTTACCTGGGGCAGAAACAGACTGTGTATTTTTATATTTATCCTTTGCCACAGCCCAATCCACTGCCACTGTTCTCCCTGTCAAACAGAAAAGTGGTGTCATAAAGCCTTTCCACCATTTAACATCCCACTTCCTGAGAGTGACTTCCTACCCATCAAAGAAAGTAACAGGGGATTTAGCTCAGTGGTTCTGCCATCTGCCTTGCAAGCACAAGGTCCCGAGTTCAATCCCTGGTACGGGGAAAAAAAAAAAAGAGTGCAGAAAGTAATGGAAGCAGTGGAGACAAGAAATGCCAATTCAGAGGTTGTGGGTCATTACATAAAGCTCTCCGTAGCTGCCTTTTTAAACAATGAACAGGATTTTAGCCTTTCTACAAAGCCACATTTTGGATAAGATGTAGTGGGGAAAAAAGGGAGGGGTAATTTTCCAGTTAGACTAGCAAGGAGCAAAACAGGCATTCTGGAGCCAGACAGAGGCAGGAGGACTTTAAGGCTGAGGCCAGCGTGGATAGTAAGACTATCTGATAATAAAATAACATCGACCGGGGATTTAGCTCAGTGGTTCTGCCGCCTGCTGGGCAAGCGCAAGGACCTGAGTTTGATCCCCGGTACCAAAAAAAAAAAAGATTAAGCCTTAATAAAATAACATCAATTATTTAAAAAGGGCTGGGGATGTTGCTCAGCAGTACAGTGTTTGCCTAACGTGCACAAAGCCCTGGGTTCAATCCTCAATACCAAAAATCAAAAGCAAGAACAAACCAAAAAAATGCATTCTGGAATAATGGATACCCTAGTCACAAGTCAGGAAGCTTCTAGGCTAATCTATTCTTTAGATACAATATCTGATAATCAATACTAAGGGTATTCTTAGACAGTCTAAATAGCCCATGCTGGGCAGGTATCACAACCAAGAAGAAAGAACTTAGATACTAACTTGATCTATCAGTGATTATTTCCAGGACATTCATTATGAGGTTAAGATGGGTGTGATGGCACACACCATTCATTATGAGGTTAAGGTGGGTGTGATGGCACTCTGGGAAGCTGAAGCAGGAAGATAACAAGTTCAAGCCCAGTGTTACGGGTTATGTCTAGATGTCCTCCTAGAGCCTTAAGCAGTCATAGGTGGGGCTTTTTCAGAGGTGGTTGGATCTCAGGTGTGTGACTGATTCATGGTGCAATGCTAGGATTAAAGGTGCTAAGATTAAGGGTGGATGATTACTAAATCAGTCCATTGATTGGTTTGGCACCACCATAATCCCAGTAGCCTGGATAAAATATAAGGGACAGAAAGAGGCTTATCTGGTCCTTTGTTGCTTTGTTATCTTCCGCCTGCCATGAACTATTTCTCCTCTGCAATGCCTCTCTGCCATGCCACCCTGCCTTGAAGCGAGCCAATTATGGACTAATACCTCTATAAACTATGAGCTGAATACGCCTTTCCCCCTTAAACTTTGGGTGTCAGGAATTTAGTCTCAGCAATGAGAAAAAAAGTAATTAAGACACCCAGCCTGAGCAACTCAGCCACTTAGCTAGATTCCTATCTCAAAATAAAAATAAAAGGGGTTGAAGATGTAGCACAGTGCAAGGCCCTGGGGATAATCCTCAGTACGACATATAAAAATACAAAATAAATAATCAGTAAAAAAATTTAAAGGATAGTCTCACCAAATAAAAGAATCCCGGTCTGGGTTCTTAAGTTTAACACTTAAATCAGATACTAGAAATACAGTGGTACCTCTGTTCATGAACTTAATTCTTTCCACAATTCTGGTGGTAGAATTCATTCTACAATTTTGGCTGCAACTGAATTGCAAGCTTGCAAAAGTTCATGAACTGAGGTACCACTGTATTTCTAAATGCTTACATATTAGCAATGAACTCTCCTTAGTGCAAACACCTCTAGAAAATGTAAAAAATAGGTTACTATGTTAATTCAAACACCAAACACCAGAAATATTTGGGCCAACGGTACGGGTATAGAAAACTCACCTTTTATGTCTTTCATGTTCATGCCTTTGAGAGCTTTTCCTGCTTCTAGGAGATTTTTGAACTGAACAAAAGCAAAACCACGCATCTTTCCATCTGTGTATAAATGAAATGTACAAAGACGTTACAGGCAGCAAGGGGGAGCCAACAGAACACTACAAAGGAAATTACAGCAACCAAGCTGCAAAACAGCCCAAATCCTGAGAGCCAGTCACAAAGTCTCTTCTCCAAAGCAATACGTTATTCAGTAGTGATGGTGAGGGAACCTTTTAGAGACTGAGCGCCCAAACTGCAACCCAAACCCACTTATTTATCAAAGTACCAACAATGCAATTAATCCCAAATACTAAGGCTCTAGTTTAGAAAAAACAACTCAGACATTAACATGTTAGGTCTTAAAAGAAAAACAAGTAACACGTATGTCATAGGTTCACCACCACTGTTATACAGTATCCTCTTGCTGAGTGAACCCACTGAGGTTTGAGGACAGTTAATACCAACAGTAACTAATCTTCTAAAACTAACTGTGATCTATCTAAAAATACCATCACAGGAACAGCACTGTTATTTGAGTTATGTGTCAAGCACTGTGCCAGATACTTCATAAATACCATATTATCTAGGGCTCATGAAGAGCATGACATAAATGCTGTATTTCTAGTTCAAGGCAATACGGGAAAAAGACAGGTTAAATAACCCCAAACTAATCCACATAAAATGAAAGTATACTAGTACCTGGCTTCCTTGGAATGTTTACTTCAAGGACAGCTCCAAACTGAGAAAATACTGTTTTCAAGTCATCTTCTGAACACTAAAGCCAAAAGTTTTGAAAAAAGAAAAATATCACAACAAATAAACATAAAACACCACCTACTAAGTTCATATATTAGGAAAAGTCTGAATCATTTTACTCTTTTACTTTGGAGACTAGGACACCAAACAGTTCTGAATGGAGGACACCTTACTTTGTATCTATGAAGCCAAACAGACAGACACCAGAGAGCTTTTTCAACTCCCTTTCTCTGTGCCAGTTTCCCGCAAAGTAGGCATCTTCACATGTAGTGTCCTTACTAAATTTTTAAGGCCATTTTCTTAATTCAATAGGCTGAGGTTCATTCCCAGAGGAATCAGGCCCAACAATACCACATTAGTGAAGAGTTCCACCAGTGAGCATGCACTGGTTCCAACACCTTCACCACACACAGTATTAGTTCACCACTTACTTTAAAGCTCAGGTTCCGAATAATTAATCTGGCTTTTTTATCTGCCACTTTGGCCTTCTTAGTCTTCAGCTCCTTCTTTGGAGACTCTGAATTTTCTTTAAAAAAAAAAAAAAAGCATGGGATGAATCTGTGCTCTAAAACCACCCACTTCTGGAGAGCCATCAGAGAGAAAAGGCTACTAGTAACAGATGGCATTTACAGGGTTAAGCATGGCCGTATCCACAAACATGAGATTCTTCAGACTGAGATGGAAGCAAAGGATTAAAACGAGCATCCAAATATGTCAGATGATTTGGATATGGAAAAGAAACGCAGAGCGCTCTAAGATCTAGACACTATCCCCCACTCTACCCTGCCTCGCTCTCACTTTCACAGTGCTGCTCCTCACCCTGCAGGAACACTCTCTTCAGTTATTAGAAACTCACCATTTTTCCTCTTTTCCTTGGAATTGTTCCTCAGTTTTTTCTTGGCAACAGTAATGTTGATCTTGGAACCTTCAAAGGTGGTGATCTCCTTGAGGGCCCTCTGAACATCTTCCAGCATGGAGAAAGTGACATAGCCAAAGCCTCGACATGCCTTACTCCCTGGAACAAGGCAAGAAGGGAGTAGGGGTGAAAAGGACAGAGAATCAGAAGCCAAGTACACTAAACCAGGAAATCCTCAAAGCCTAAGCAAGCAGACATCCTGTGAAACCATACTGTGATCAGTTTACCAAAAGTCTCAGGAGGGAACAAAATAAGGCTAACATCAGTAGCTCCTTCCGCACTTTGTTCCGAAACTGTTAGGTTTCCTCTCCTCTCCTAATTTAGTGTCTTGCTGCTAGTGCCTCTTCTTCTCCTCGCCTAATGTTAAGTAAGTATGGTAGCTTCAAAAGTCAGAATAAATAATGCAGTCCTTCCTTAGAATAGATCTCCAATAAATCCCTGAAACTCTGAAAAAAGAACCTCAAACAATAAGCACTGCTTTGGGAATCTGGAGATATTACCAAAGCCTTAGCTATTCAGTATCAAATTAAACCTTTACAAAACAGCTATAAATCACTGACCTCATTTTATCTTCAAGACAGTCCAAGGTAGGTAAAGCAAATATTACCATCCTTTCTTTCCAAAAAACAATCTGAGATAGAGGAAAACTAAGTGAATGATGTAAAGGATGTTAGTTGTCAGTTTATTCTTTCTTACCAACTCCACAGAGAATATTAGAACCAAACAATAAATAATTACAAATATCAAATGTAATCCTCCTTGGTATTTTTTGTGTAGTAAAATTTTAAGTAATTTAATGTATCAAACGGAACAAGCCAGACCAACAAGTCTGCCCCACCACCACCACCACAGAAGAAACAAGAGCTTGAGTGCCCTGCTTCTCTTTCAAAACTGCTTAAAGTTGACATTCAGCACCAAGAAAACATACTGTGCCATGGAGACTGATTTCTTTTCTCTTGAAACTCCCTCTCAAAAACCTGCCCACTCACCTTTCAGAAAACAAGAAAAATCAAGGCACTTCCTGATCAGTACAACCAAAAATAAAGCAGTTCAAATGTGAAGAAGTTCAGTGCCCAAATAAAAGCACATACTAATAATTACATCTGCACAAAGCACTCTCACAACTTTTACAACTAGAACCCTTGCAACAGTCCTGTGAAACCATCCTATCTTTAAGAGGCTGGATGACGTGCCACTACTTTTAAGGAAAACCTCACCTCACCCACCCATCCCACTGAATGCAGCACTCTTTCCAATACATCTCAGCTGTCTGGAAAGGAAAGTACAGTTTTCTCAAAAATGAAATAAGAGATGCTGTTAAGGTTTTAGACCAAGTCCATAAGGTCAGCAAGATTACATGTGGCCTATATTCTGAGGACTTAAAAGAGAATTCCCATTTCATGGTCTGTTCTTCCCTGGAACATATCTGGCACTGTATAGCAGTTATTTTTCAAACTGTTTTGATAACCCACAGTAAGGGTTCCTATACTGGAACCAGTAAAGACATAAATTCTTTATACAAAACTCACAGAAAAGTCTTACAAATACTTAACCTTTGCTATATATGTATTCCTTTTACTCTACTTCATTTATTTATTGATTGATTGATACCAGGAATCGAACTCAGGACCTTGTGCTTGCCAGGCAGGAACAGTGCCATTGAGCTAATCCCCTGCCCCATTTTTAAAAACTCTAGCCTCTGCCACATGTGGTAGTGCACACTTTGTAATAACTGCACTTGGGAGGCTGAAACAGGAGAATCATAATAGAGCTCAAGGTCAGCTTTGACTACATAGTGATACCCTTTCTCAAAATAAATAAATAAACAAATAAATAAATTCTAGCCACAACCCACTCAAGACTTACTAATGGGTAATAATCTGCAGCTTAAGAAAAATTAATGTAGGGCTGGGGATTTAGCTCAGTGGTTCTGCTGCCTACCTTGCAAGTACAAGGTCCCGAGTTTGATCCCCAGTATCAAAAAAAAAAAAAAAGAAAGAAAAGAAAGAAAATTTAATGTATTGACACTCTCCTCTCATTCACTTATATCTATACTTAGAATGACAATGAACCAGGCAGGTGGTATGGCTTGTACCGCCAGAACCACATTGATGATCCTAACTATAACTTCTCTTACTAGCAAATAGAAGTCAAATGGGCTGATTATTAGCACATATCATACTGGCTACTAACGTACTCATATACAATACAGGGGGAGAGAGGAGTCCATGAGATGCCAGTTCTCATCAGTTATACTGCTGAAAGGCAAAGAGCCAGCCACCTGCAGAGAGCCTGGCAACTTGGGAGGGAGCTAATGTATACTCTGAATAACATTCAGGTACCTATCTTGGGTTCCCCTTGACAGTTAAGGTAAGAGGAAAGAATGCTTTTACAATCCTTGTAATTCTCCAACCCTCCATCCTGGGTGGTATGATGCATACAGTATTCCACAACTCAGTAAATCTCTCCAGTGGCTCAAGCCAAAAACCTTAGAATCAGAATTGACTCCTTTTTTTTTCCTATGACCAATCAGCAAATCCTCTCCTTCAAATAACGTCCATTATCCAACCACTTTCCCCACCTCCATTGCACTGTCCTGGTCCAAAACCCTGATCTCTCACTAGATTACTATAAGAGCCTACTAACTGGTCTCCTTGTTCCTGTCTTATTTTCCAATAGTCTATTTGTCACACAGCATTCAGAGAGAATCTTTCAAAATGTAAACCAGGTCATAGTTACTGGCCTCTGATTAAAACCAATGGTCTCCCATAAACATAGTAAAAGCCAAAGTCCTTACAATGGCCTACAAGATCTTATGTGATCTGGTACTCTAGAATTCATCTCCTATTTATCTTCCCTTCAGTCACTTCACTCCAGTCACTCTGTCCTCCTTGCTACTTCTCCCATATACCAGTCACACGCCTGCTTTAATATCCTTTTTTTAGTACTGAGGATTGAATCCAGAGCCTCGTATAAACTAAGCGAGTGGTCTAGTGTTCAGCTACACCTTTAGCCCCCTTTTTAAAAGTTTTATTTTGAAACAAGGTCTCATTAAATTGCCTGGGCTGGCCTCAAACTTTCAATCCTCCTGCCTTTGTCTCCTGAGTAGCAAGAATTGCAGGCATGTGCTACAGGGCCCAGACTGCTACAGTATCCTTGACCTTGCTGTTTCTTCCATTTAGACTGTTCTGCCTGAAAGACATAAATTCACCCTCTCACTTTAGTCAGGGCTTCTCTGGCCAACCTATCCATACTACTACTCTTGTCCCTGCAGCTCTCTTACATACAGCAGACTCCCTATCCCCCTTCTCTGATTTATTTTTCTCCATAGTATTCATCACCATTGTCACTACGTAGTTGGCTTATTTACTGGCTGTGGATTTCCAGTTTGCTGCATCCTGCTGTATCCCCAGGACCTACAACAGTGCCCCAGGACATAGTAGGCATTCAGTAAGTAGTTGCTGAACAGAGGAACGAATGCACAGCATACTGGCTAAGAGATTCAAGCCTGAAGGTCAAATTCTGGGTCTGCGACTTCCTAGCTCTAGGAACTCAGAGTTACTAAATTTCCCTAAGTTCTAGATTTTTGCATGCAAAATAGGATTAAGGCTCTACAATAAGACTGTCAAACTAAGCACCTTGCCTTGCAATCAACTAGCCCTCAATAAGCCTTACCGATGCTTTATTAACTGTTAAAAAGTTTCATTATTACAAAATAAGACATATGTAAACGTGTATAACAAACGGAAAGCGCTACAGAAACTTGATGCTTTGCCTTTCATAAACCAACCCTACGGGCCCATCTAAAGCAGTCAGGTGGGAAAAGAAACTCCAGTTCCTTCACTTAGGGAAGGTGACTAGTGGCTCCCTAAAGTTTGGGACGGTGGCCCCACTCCCATCTCGCCCCCCAGGAACCCCAGTCTCTTCGCTCGGCCCCCCCCCCTACCTTTCTCAGTCACCACGAAGCACTGTTTCACCGGCCCCACCTGACTGAACAGCTCTTCCAGCTGCTCACTACGGGCGGAAGGCGGCAGATTGCGCACAAACAAGGTCAGGCCGGCCATGAGACCGGGAAACCGAGGTTCGCGACGCTACGAGTGACCAGGCCGGTGCACGCGACTCGAGAGGCTGGCTTTAACAGGACGACCGCACCAGGGGCCCGGGAGATGTCGGAAGTGCTCGTCGCTCAAAAGACTCCGGAGGAAAACGTGGAGGGAAGCGGAAGAAACGTTCCGGAACTAAAAAAAATAAAAAATAAAAAAGCGGCCCGCCTAGAGGCGGAGCCTCTTACACACACCCGGAAATTTGGCATCTACAGTTTATCCTCTTGAAATCTCATTTCCAGGAAGTCGACTCCAAATTCACCAGAATAGGGAAAAGACATTTTTGAGCCAGGCCTTATCCAAGTTCTGACATATGATGGATCCTTAATAAATATTTTCTGAAGTACCTCATCAGATTCCCGGGTTCCAGGCAGAAACTGCAGCCAGAATGCAAAGACACAAGCTTGTCACATACACTCTCATATCCTCAGAGAATCTGAGATAAATGTCACCTCAGTCTCGCTGACAAATTGTAGCTATTGAAGTACATATAGACACAAATGGTACACAATTATTCCCTCAATAAATATTTACTGAGCCCCTACTTAATGTACCAAGGATTAGGGATAAAACTGGTACGCTAAAAAAAATAAAAAAGACAGGGTCCCTGCTCTAGTATAGAATACCAGCTAGTAAGTGAGATAGACATTTTAAAAAATTTTATAAATATTTTTCTTAACATGGCGGCACAGGCCTGTAATCCCAGCACTTGGGAGGCTGAGGCAGAAGAATCACCACGAGTTGGAGGCCAGCTTGGATTATATAGTGAGTTCAAGGCCAGCCTGAATTACAGAGTGAGACTCTGTCTCAAAAAAAAGAAAAGAAAAACATATATATTATATATGTATATCACAGCATGCTCGCTTCGAGATCACATCAGAATGGACCCAAAGCAAATATAATACCCAGAACCAGCCCCACCCAGAGATAAAAGATCCTCCCTAGGTAAATTTATCAGACAGACCGAAGGCTGAGAGGTCTCACTGTCAAAAAGGAGATCTGGGTGCGTATGGGTTCTGGAACATATAGTGTTTGCCATCTGTAGGGCTAAGGAAGAGACCTGTGTGCAAGACCCTGCATCCACAGAATGCCCAATTGAAAGAAGTACCCAAGGCATTTTTTTAAATAGTTGTCTTTAGGGCCTGGAGATTTAGCTGAGTGGCACAGTGCTTGCCTAGCAAGTGCAAAGTCCTGATTCCCGGCACCGGGGTTAGGGTTAGGGTTGGGGGGGGCGGGGGAGGAAATGGAAGTTTCCTAAAGAAAATAAATAGTTGCTTTTGTTTTCGTTTTGTTTTGTTCAGTGCTGGGGATTGATTCTAGGGCCTTATGCAATGGTATACAAGAACTCTACCTCTAAGCTACATCTGCTGCCCAAAATCATTATTTTAATTTTATTTTTGCTGTACTTGGGATTGAATCCAGGCCCTTCTCACTGAACTACATCCCCAGCCTGTTTTTTATTTTTTATATTAAGACAGGGTCTTTTGCTAACTTGCCCAGGTTATTCTTGAACTTGCAATCCTCCTAAGACTTCCAGGGCCTACCTGGCCAAAATCATTGCTTTTAAATGATAGTGGCATGGTAGGTAGAAAAATTTTAAAAGGTGAAATATATAGTGAATAAAATAATTTCCCTTTCTCCTCAAGCCCCATTCACCTTCTGTGTGTGTGTGTGTGTTGGTTTTGGTTTTGGTTTTTTGAGAGAAGGTCTTGCTTTGTAGTTCAGGCTGGTCTTGACCTCACTATGTAGCCCAAACTGGCCTTGAACTCACTGCAATCCTCCTGCTTCAGCCTCCCAAGTACTGGGAATGCAGGCCTGCATCACCAAGCCCAGCTCTCCATTCACTTTCAATACCTTTGTGATGGATGAATGATCAGTTTTAGTGATATAGGAAAAAGAAGAAACACTAAGCATCAGATTTGTGAAGCCATGTAAAATATGCTTCAAAAAACACACCACAATTGTTTTTTTTTTTTATTTTTGTTTTTGTTTTTAAGACAGGGTCTCACTATGTAGTTCAACCTGGCCTTGTCCTCACTATGTAGCTCAGGCTGGCCTTGAACTCATGGCAATCCTCCTGCCTCAGCCTCCTGAGTGCTAGGATCACAGGCGTGCGCCATTACACCCAGCATCACAGTTATTTTTAAACACAGAACTTAAGAAAGGAAGCATTGAAATACAAAACAGATTGTTAGGGTTACAAGGTAAATCTTATGTGGTATAGAGTAATACAGACAAAGGAAATGAGTTAGGTCATTTGAACAAAGTTGATTTGAGATTCAACATCCCTCCCTCTTCTTTCTCTTTCCCTCCTGCCCTATTCCCCACCATAGGAATCAACATTCCATTCCCAAAGACCAAACTGCAAGGTTCTGAGGCCTCAGGTATGGGGAGGCTTTTCTAGTCCTGGATGTAATATGTACAGGAAAAGAACACTGAGAAGGTTGTTCTAGCATCCAATATTCACTATGAATGTTGTATACTGTGTACCCAAATTTTCCTTGAAGGACAAAACCATCAGATGGCAGCAGATACCCACAGTGCAGGGCTTTGCAGCCCTCAGGAAGGACAACAGTACGATTGATACATTCTACTCTACCCATAGTTCAGATGTGGGTCCACATCTGTTTCCTACCTCACCTTCTCCTATCCATTCATATCAGGGAAGGCACATGGTTCTTCCATCAGGAATATTTTCTCATCCATCTACTCAGGACACATGCAGTGTTCTTTATTAAATAACGGGAGCCTTGGAACTCTGCAATGTGGCTTCCAGGGGAAATAAACCATCAGCCTGCTCCTCATCCATCACTGTGCAGGAGCCTGGAAGGGAAGTCAGGGAGCCCTGGCCTGTTCTCAGCCAGCCTCTGCCAGGTCTCATCACTCTGGCTTCAATTCCCCTTGCAAGCTAAATTTTCTATAATTCCAAACAGTTCTTGTTCACCACACTTCTCACAATTGTAACCAATTACTTGTGCTATTGTGATTATTTATGTGATTCATTGTTTAATGTCTGCTTTTCCCCAAAAGACCCACAACTTCATAAATCCCGGGCTGGTATCTTTCTCCTTTACCTCTCTATTCCCAGCACCTAGCACATTGTAAGCACTTGATGAATATTTTTAAGAGAACAAATGAGTGGATGGATGGATGCACAGATGGATGTAAGTAAGTGAGCTTGTCCCTCAGTCCCCAGAAGTACCAAGATTTGGAATTGCAGGGCATCTGCATTTGGATCTACCTGGACTCCTTCTAGGAAATATGTGGGATAAGGCAAGGGACAAAAGGGAAGGAAAAGCTGTCTAATCCAAGTCCTGGCCTCTGTAGGGAGTCAAAGGGCTGCAGTAATTCTTACTGAGAAAAATTAACAAAATGTTAGAGCTGTATTCTCATGTCCTTTTCTTTCCTCACAAGCCCCATTTAGAAACAAAGCGTGTGTGCACGTGTGGTGTGCGTGTGTGCGTGTGTGTGTGTGTGTGTGTGTGTGTGTGAAAGAGACAGACAGACAGACGGAGAGATTGACTGGGGGTCTTTGAGGCTTGGGCTGCTCTCTCGGGAAGTGTGTGCCAAACCCAGAGGCCCAGGTGGAGAGTGAGAGAGAGAGAGAGAGAGAGAGAGGAGCTGGCCAGGATTAGAGTGAGGAAGAGAGGGCAGAGGAGCTGAGTGTGAGCACAACCAGAGGAGCGGCAGGTGGAAGGGAACATGGGGAAGAAAGCAAGCACTTTCTCAGAGCAGCTACAAGCACTCCTTACCTGACACAATGCTGTGCTGATGCTGAGCCTCTATAGCCACTATGACACCAGTGAGAAATGCCTTCAATTAGGAGGCTGGCAGCTCTCTGGGCCTCAGCCCAGAGAGACAATGCAGCAGGAATTTCCCAGCCAAGCTGAGCCAGGTGATGGAGGAGACACGATCAGAATGACTCCAGGCATATCCCTTAGCCTCGACTGCATCACAGCCTCCCATTTCTCTCCCTCCTGTGACTCTCACTCTCCCCAAGACACTGCTGGCTCCCCTTCCTCCTCAGAGGCCTCAGAGGCCTGCTCCTCTCAGCCAAACCAGACCTTCATCTGCAAGGAGAGCAGCACTCAAATTCCCCTACTAGCACATGGAGCCTGGCCTGGCTGCATGGGGGTCCAATCCCCTCCCAGCCTTCCTGCCAACTTCCCCCTTGGCTCCCAGCCTCCCTTCTCCAATCTCCACCAGCTGAAGTTCCCACTCAAGTTCCTGTTCTTCCACTCTGAGCCTAATGTGCATGCCCCTGTGACGTGCAGGACATCGACCAAAACATTGTCAGATTTTTATTTTCAAACCTACCCCAAGCCCCTGCTTTTGTGCCACTCTGAACCACTGAATTTTAGCCAAGGGGCAAATGCACTGTAGAGCTCCAAGCCAACCACTCCAAGCAAGGAAGGGATTATACAGTGCCTGGTGGCTTGACGTGTTTATGAATCTCTGCATTGTGAGTTCTGCTTTGGGAGTTAGGCTTCTACAGGGGGACAGGTTTTCTCCAGGAAGGATCTACACCTATGAGAGAGGAGAGTTCTACAGAGGAAGATGGGGTGGCGGTGAGCCCAAACTCAAAGAGGACCTGTTGGTTGTGTTGGTTGTGAATCCCCAAATGTGAAAATCTGGCAGAGGGACTGCTGGGGATTCCAGCTTCAGACAACCAGGTGCTTTTACATGTGTATCAGTATTTCCATGAAGGAGTGTAACCTAACTAGCGAGCTGTCTACCAGGACCTGAAGCCAGGCTCCTGGGAGTACAGGTAAGAGGACTAAAGAGTTTCTGTCCCACTTCTCAGGACCATCTGCCACCTCTATGAAAAGCCATTTCCCAGGAAGACAGAAGGATCTTCAAGGGACCACTCCCAGGACCCTCACTTATCCCAGCCACAGGACAAGATCCTTGGTCTTGAGTGAGGGTCCCTGGAGTCAAGGGCAGACTCACTCACTTACACTTCAGGTAGAACCACTGCTGCTGTCACCCCATTTAAGCTTTTCCAAGAAGGTCAGAACTTCCTCCTCTGAAAATATTTTATTGATAAATTAACTCTGAAAGAATTCACCTCCCACCCACCTGCTGTAAGGTCTTCTGAAAGGGCTGTGAAGCCTTCTGTGGGAAAGGGGCCGTGGAGGTCAGGAAGTCTCACTCACCACAGGGGTGGGATTCCTGGGTATAGCAGAGGAGGGTATGGGGCCAAGGCAGGGCCCCAGGTCTTCTGAGGACAGCCCCTCTCAGTCAGCACCAGAGTGGAGCACCTTGAGCTTTATTGCTGGTGAAGGCCAAGGAAAGTGGGACCCCTGCCAGCCTAAAATTGCAACTGAGGGCATCAGTGCCCAGAGCTACAGAGAAGGTGGCACTAATTCCCAGTCAACAGAGCCTGGCTGCTGACTCACCCACCCAGGGGCCCCTGGATGGGGAAGGAAGTGGGGAGGTATCTGAGCCAGGCAGAATTAGGGAAGGGTTACAGTGTGCAGGTCTCAGACAGAGCAGGTGCCAGAAAGGGGTGTGTGGTGGCAAGGCATTGAGGTGGCCGCCTCATCACAGGTCTATGGTGTCGCTACCCACACTCAGCTCGTCGATTTGTCGACAAGCATCCAGGAATTGCTCCTGCAGCAAGGCCTCCTCGGCCTGCAGCTCAGGAACAGGCTCCGGAGAGTCGTGGGAGGGCGAGGACAAGGCCTGGTAGGATCCTGAGATCTGGAGGCTAGGGCTGCTTCCAGAGGGTCGAGGGGGAGTGAGGACACAGACCAGCGGACAGCGAAGAGGCCTGTCCGGGCTGGAACATAACAGCATGGAGGAGCTGTCCCGCGAGAGTCCGCACAGGGAGCCAGATGAGGCGCTACTCTCCGCGGGCCAAGCCCCAGGAGAGGGGAGATCTGGGGGCGCTGGGGAGCTGAGGGCTTCCTCTGACTTTCCACCCACCCCGGCCCTGGTCTTGGTCCCCAAGGAGGCGGCGCGGTAGAGGCCGAGCCCAGGCAAGGATTCCCCGAAGGCAGGGCCCTGAAAGAGGCCAGGAGCCAGCAGCGCCTCGCTACCGAGGGCCTCCTCGATGCTCCGCCGCAGGTTGATCGGGGAGGGCGGCCGGAAGTCCACGGTGCAATCGCTGCAGGGGGAGGAGGCTGGGGATGGGACGGGGTTGGCCGAGGCGCCTTCGAAGCCGGGGCAGCCACCACCCTGGAGTAGCAGGTCGGGGCCTGGGCCTGCCAGGGCGCAAAGCTGCAGCAGCTCCGCGTCTCCACGAGCGATAGATCTACCCAGGTGCTCCTTGTCTTGGGGCCCGGTGACCCAGCCTCCGGGCAGTAGCGGGGCCGCGTGGCCCGGGGACAAACGGAAGATCTTGGCCCAGCAGCGAGGCTGCACACGGGGGCTGCAGAGCGTGGGGTAGAGCCCCAGCAGCGCTAAAGGGAGCGCGACGCCCACCTCGCCCAGGCGCAGGCCGAGCTGGAAAGCCCACCAGGGCCAGGGCCCCTCCAGGCCAGGTTGGCCGCCGTAGCCCAGGGCGTGTAGCACTTCGTAGCCCTGCAGGGCTCCGCTCAGCAGCCCGAAGGTGCCCGCCACCGGGGCCGTGCGCGCTGCGCGCCGCCAGGACTCCCGTGGGGCGAAAGGGCTGCGCACCTGTGGGACCAGGGTCGCTCCCTTGAAGCCAGACCCGCCCAGGGGCGCCCCGGCCCGCCGCCTCCGGCCCCTGAAGCAAGACAGCGCCAACAGGAGCCCCGAAAGGAGGGCGGCGAGGAAGGCGTGCAGCCCGCGGGAGGCGAGCCGCAGGGGCCGCAGCGGGCGGTGCGTGGCGCTCCCCAGGGCGGCGGCCGCCGCCAGCCCCAGCCCCAAGAGCAGCAGCGCGGCCAGGCCGGCGGGGCAGCGCGGTGGGCGCGGCCGGGCCAACAGCAGGCAGGCGAGCCCCAGGCCGGCAGCCAGGCAGGGCAGCGGAAGGTCCTGCAGGAGCAGCCAGGCGAGAGCCGGCAGCCGGTCGCGGTGCCCATAGGCGTCATAGAAGAGCGGGAAGGCACGCGTGGTTCCGGCGGAGAGCAGCAGCAGGTCCAGCAGCGCCAGGCAGGGGGTACCAGGCGGGCAGCGCCAGGGCAAGAGCACCAGAGCCAGCAGTGCCAGCAAGGCCACCAGGCCGAAGAGCGCACCCGCCCCATACACGTGGGCCTCCCAGGCCAGCCCCCAGCGAGCCCGGGCCTCTGCCCAGTCAGCCTCCAGGGTCAGGAAGAAGGGGGGCCTCAGGGAGGCAGGAGGCTGCACCTCTCCATCTGGCAGCTCGCCCACATCCACGCTACAACTCTCTGGCCCGCACTCTGGCTGCGCTGAAGGGTTTCCAAGGCTGGCAGGAAAAGGGTCATCCGGGCCAGAGGTGGGGATGGTGGGGTCTGCAGGCAAAGAACGTTTGCTGAGGTAATCGTGCAGTCTTGCCCTCTACCCCCAGCCCTCAGCCAGTAGCCAGTGAGAGTCCATCAAATCACCCAGGATGTACCTGTCCTATTCAGAAGACTCCCCACCTCTTGGCCTCTCACTTCCTCCTCCCACACCCCAATCCTTCAGGCCAAAGCTTCAGTTCACACCCTCCCCTCTTCCTCCTTTGTTCATTTCCATTCATCACTCTGTGACTCTACTGGAAAAGGTTTTCTTCAGAAGTCACAGAACTTTTTAACTGGAAGGAATTGTGGACCTCCTCCCAGCCAATACCTCCACCAGAGAGGAAGTTTTACAAGAACAAGGATTGTTATCCCCTTTGCTCATATTTGAATCTCCATGCCCAAAAGGTTTGTGGCACATAGTTGACATTGAGCAGATACTCATTGAATAAATGAATCTTATTTGCCAAATTAAGATACTGAGGCTCTGCAGAGAGGCAAAGTGACTTGTCCAAGATCGTGAATCGGCAGAGTGCAGTTACAATCCAAATCCAAGCACCAATCAGAGCCCCCTTTCTACTCCAAAATGTCTTTATAATATTAGCCTGCTCATCTCCTGTTCTGCACCCCTGACTCCTAATTGCCACTTTGCTGCTGCTAAGAGATGCTTCTCTTGACCTTTTTAACTTCTCCCACCTTGGCCCTGTTTTAAGGAACATACTAGCTTTGCACATATGCACAAACACTCCCCTTCCTACCAGCTACATCCCAGTCCTCAGTTTACCCCTGGCTGTGACCCCCACACTGACTCACCAACAAGCCAAGTCTGAAACTCTCGATACAGATGTCCCTTTGATCGCTCACACATTTTACAGAAGGCGACATTGAGACAGACTCACCTGAGTCTCAGAGCCCTTGAACTCCCAGAAAGGAATATTTGGGGAGATCATAGGATGATAAATGTCATCTGAGTGTGTGAGGCCCTCAAGTGCTCTTGGGGTTGCTAACTCAAGCCTCCAGCCCCCTTCTGTGTGCTAACATCTTCCCACATCTCTTGAGGAAAGGAAAGTCTACGAAATGGGAAAGGGTGGAGTAAGACACCTGGTTCTACTCTCCTAGAGCTAGAGAGGAGTTCAAAAGAGAGCCAGGAACTCTGTCTATGGCTAGGCAATGGGGAAATGTTGGAAACTGACCTCTTTCTACCCTCACAGGCCCAACAGGACTGCAGCTGCAAGCCACGGTGGAGGAAGAAAGGGTGGTAGTGAAAGATGGGGATAGCCTGGAAGGGATGGGGAAGAGGACAAAGACAGATGTAGAATGGAGAGGGAGGTCTCCTAATGATCACACACCTGTCCCAACAGCTGGCTGTTTCCCAGCCATATTCAGCTGGACAACATATGAAGACCCCAGAAACATTCCTACCCAGGCAGTGCCAGCTCATTCTAGGAACAGGAAAAAACACAGCACTTCTGACAACAAGAAAAAGGAGTGAGGAGCCAGAAGGCAACACTGGAGAGAGGGGAGGGGAAATGGAATTGGGCAACCAGGGAGGACTGAGAAAGAGCAGCCAGAAAATTAAATATGCACAGCTCCCTGCCAACTGCAAACAGCAGCTTGCACCCCGGTTTCCATTCCATCACATTCTCAAATCTGAACTAGGTAAGAGTGCCCACTGCATAGGACAGGTGTGAGGATAAATGAGAAGATGTGCATAAACTCTTTGGAGTGCCTCGTGTGTAATGGTCATTCAGTGTAAGATTGTGGTCAGTAACCTCATCAGCTAATGATCATCACTGATCAGCAGTTTGTGTTTGTATGAGTGTGAGCAATTCTGGCCTCAAAGTTGTTCTTGATTTAACTACCAAAGGCTGCCATCTGGTTGAGAATCCCTCAGCATATCCTAAGCTTGCTTAGATACTCGTGTGTTTGACAACGATCAGTAAATGAGTGAACATATTGTCTCACTTTATGAATTCTGAAGAGGACCATGCTGATGACATAAATACCCCTGAACAATCATGAAGAGAACAACCCATCAGTTAAATGGGAAGCCATTCATCTACAAACAAATAGCTCGCTGATCAGAGGAGGACATTGTCTAGCATTGGCAGGATCAAATAAACACGCTTCCTGACCCTGCACCCTCTGGTCCCCTTTGGTCCTTGCTTCTGCAAAGTAACTGAGTTAGCTTGGTCTTTCTTTGGCCTTTGGGCTCTGCAGTGAGGCAGAGAGGTCCTGCCTAGGAGCCCACAGTATCAGCCTGTCACATGTCCTTGCCCCCTGCACAGACAAGCACAGTTCTTCGAGCTCAGCTCCACTTCACTCCCCACACTTCACTCTTCCCCATCTTCACCTCTCAGCCATGGGCCACAGAAAACTTCATCTCTCATCTCTGTCCCCAAGCACTATGGCAACCAGGGCAAATGTCAACATTCATAAGAATTCAGAAAAGGAATAAAAGCCAGAAAACAGACAAAGTATAGGTGGAGCTCAAGTATCAAAGAAGGAGCTCTGAATTAGGAGCACTGTTCCCAGGGGTCATACTGTGCCTAGAGTGCCTGCATGGGCCCAGTATGAGTGGGGATGGGTAGAAGGAAGCCTGGCTTCTGCCTTCAAAGGACCCACTTTATCTCCTCTCCTATCCCTGAATTTGTGATTTCCCCAGAAGGAGCCTTCAGTTTCCCCCAGAAGATAATGACCTTCACTCCACTCCTCCTGGGATCCCTCTGTTGAGCAGGCCACCTCTTCAGGGAGGCCCCATTCTCACCCTGTGGCCCCACTTGACCTCAGGGGTGAAGGACGGAGATATCAATGTGAGTAACTGTTAAGGCTGGAGCTGGCTGGAAAGGGGCAGAGGGAGGGGCCATCTCATTCATGGAAAAGCCAGGCCTGATTATCCCCCAGCTGCCCACATCAAAGGGCTGGGGAATGGCATCCCCACTCTGGATTCTGGAAGCTGCGGCCCTTTAGTGACCTGGCTCCATCCCTCCCCCATCCCCACCTCCAGGATCCCAGAGCACTGGTATTCTTTGTGACAGTGACACTCAACATATTTAACAACTGGGTAGCACAGGCATCAGCCAGTCAGAATAGAGGCCCACCAGGGTGGTCAGGGAGTGGAGGAGAGCACTCACAGGGACTCAGGACATAGTCGCCTGAGAGTCTTTCTGTGTGTTATGACTTGTACAAGTGTTGGAGGATTTAGGGTCCAAATACAAGTTCTGTTCAAGGTGAAAGGGACCTACGATCAGGAAGACCTAGGAATTCAAAGTTAAAGTCAACTAGGTGAGAAAGATCCTAGAAGAAACACAGAGACTCTCTTTGTTCCCCCACCTGCTACACACACACACACACACACACACACACACACACACTCCAGTGTGAGCAAGGCCCATTGGCCTTATCTCCAGGAGGCCTGTGGCCCTTCTGGTTTTATCCAGGAGGAACAGCCAGGAAGAGACTGGGTTCCTGCAGCCACCAGGGAGAAGGGGGGCAGGAAGGCCGGGCTGCCAGCCTGCTGGGCTCTGCTGCCTCTGATACTATCCAGACTCATTAAACCTGCCCAGCCAGTGCTGTCCCCCTGGCGACAGACTGCCAGCCAGCATCCTTCCCCAAAGGCACAGAGCTGCCCTCCACCCACAGTGGATCCTTCCACTGCTGCACACTGGCTGGACACGGTAGTGCTGGCCGCCTTACCCACTGCTGAGGGAGCACAGTGATCGTGGCTGGAGCCAGAAGGTGGGATGTGGTGTCAGGTTTGGGGCTAGAAGGTAGAGAACCAGGGGTCCATGGCTGAGCCTAATAGGAAGGGACTGAGGGGCTTCATGGCCACAGCAAATGGTTTGAAAAGCAAAACTAAGCTTGGAAGTCACTCTCCACGGCTCTGGTGGCCTCATCTGCCAGACTCCCCGAGCACCTATGCATCTGTCCCACCATCACCTGCAACGTAACAGTGTTGGTTATGTGTTGTCCCGTCATCACTTGTGGCCAAAGCCCAGGTGGCTGTGAAGTAGGGTCTGGAAGTATATTCGGGATGCAGGCACAGAGAAGAGTAAGATTAATAGCTACTACTTTAAATGAAAGTCTACTTTGTGACCAACATCATCGGGCCAAGAGCTTTTTTTGGGTTTTTTTTGTGCCGGGGATCGAACTTGGGACCTTGGGCTTATGAGGCAGGCGCTGGAACCGCTGAGCTAAATCCCCGGCCCAGGAATATTTGTTATCTAGAAGCTTTACAGTATCTCTTCAAAATGAATACTATCATTAAACCCTATGTAAATGAGAGAATTTAAATTTAGAGACATTAAATAACCTGCCCAAGGTCACCCAGCTAGTAAGAAAGCAAAGGGATTCAAAACCAGGTCTCAGGATGCCACCCACTTATCTAGAAGCCTGTTGTGAAAGGCTCCCTTGAATGAAGTTGGCGACTCTCTACCTACAGCCTCCTCCTCAATGGCTTCCCAGTGAGGGACCCAGCTCTGCCCATATCTGACAGTATGTCATGTCAGATAAGGAGTCAGAGAAGAGTCAAAAGATTGGGCTAGAATGGGGGTGGGTGGAGAGGTAGGCCACCCACAATGGAGGATGGGGGGGGTTCTGCTCCACCTGTCTCCAAACTGCTCTACCTCCAACTGCAAACCTCTCAGAGGACCATTTCTTAATTCTGTGTGGGACCTTCCTCTGCAACACTGGTTCTCAGACCATTAATGTATATTTCTCCACAGTGATGATGAAGAGAAAGGTGATTATGGTTATAGGGGCAATGAAATAAAAGGGTCTCAGAACACTGATAAGTGACTGATGTATAGCAAGTGCTCAAGATGTAGTTGTCAGGTTCAACTGAGTTGATACTTACCATGGTGCATTGGTGTTGTCCCAACTGAGGCAGTGCTGAGAAAAGCAGCGGGGTCCAGTAGGCTTGGGCTTGAGAGTTTCCTCTCCAGAGAGGGTAGGGATGGGGACAGAGTGGTGCCAAAGAACCCTGAAACAGGAGCAATGGGGTTTGAGTGCCACCCTACCACGTAGCTGTGGCTTCTGGGTCTTTGGAGAAAACCTGTACTTCCCAGAGCTTGTACTAAGGAAGCCTCACATCGTAAGCTTGTGTGCACCTTTTGCTAAGCTACAGGCACCAAACCAGAGTCAATGCTGCAGAGAGAACACCTCCCCTAGGGCCTAGAGAAGCAGTGCAGGCTCCACACACACACACCCCACCCCTGCCCTGGCTGAGAAAGGGAGTTCTGGTCAGCTCCCCAGCACAGCACCTGGCATGCAGAGGGCCCCACAAATGTTTGCTAGAATGAAATGAGCACTCACCTGGAGATTCTGACACTCTGGAGGCAGAGTTTGGGGATGTTGTTATGCCTGGGGGGCTCAGGCCTGAGAAGTTCCGGAGTGGGGACAATGTAGTGCCAAAGAACCCTGTAAAAGGAGTCCAGGCTGAAACTGTCTCCTACTTGCCAGGGATGCCCAGCAGGGGGCTGTCCTTCAGTGGGATGGGTACTCACCAAAGGGTCCCAGGTGCCCAGCAATCTCTGCCAGGCTGGCCCGCAAGCTGGGCAGGAGGGGCAGTGTTCGATGCCCCAGTGTGGGGGCTGCACCAGCTTTCAATGCCACATCGAACTTCAGCTCCAGCTCGCTGTGGTGGGGCCTGGGAACACTGGATGGTGGTGCTGTCGCTGTCAGTGCAGTGGCCCAGGTCACAGTCCCCATCCTGGGCTGATAAGGAGTAGTTGGCCGGTGGGTGGGACCAGAGAGGGGGGATGTGGACTCAGGAGACAGGGAGGAGGCCCAGGGCGTAGCGCTGCCCTCAGCAGAGCCCCACTCTGGGGGAGAGTTCCCAGGGGGGCCTACCAGCAGTTCCCAAAGAGGATCAGTCCTCAGCCCACTGGCCACCTCTTCCCCTGGCTCCTGGCCTGGACCAGGAGAAAGAGCCTGGGTCTCTGTGACAGGGTTTCCCCAGACAGCAGCAGGTCCTCGAAGATGGAATTTGAAGTTTAGTCCCAGGTTGAGAGATAGCATGGAGGCCTCGCTCTGAGGTGGTGGGGTCAAAGTGGTAAGGGCCCCTGGGATGGAGGAGGCAGGCTGGGGGCCCACGGGAACAGCACACAGGACCCAGCAGAAGAGCCCCAGCCCCAGGCCGCCACGCCCTGCCATGGCTGCACCTGGCCTTAGCAGCCGGAGTGGGCAAGAGGCTCCGATCTTCAGCACCTTTTGAGCTCCAAGGTCCTGGAGGGAAGAGAGGCCTTGTGAGCCCTGGCTACCACCACCCTCTTCCCTTTCCCAAGATCAGATGCCCCAGAGGAGGCTTCTGATCACAGAGAAGCAGGTGGTGGGGGCAGGATCCAAAATCTTCTGCCCGAGGAGAAAGACAGGATGGCTCCCCTTGCCAGCTTCTTCCTGCACCCTTAGGCCCAGCACAAATCTCTCCCCTGTGGTTCCCTCAGTGCCACGCCACCCCTGCACCCAGAGACCAGCACCCTTAACCACAGCAGAGAGGACAGACTCGGACCCCCAGATGCAGATTCTCTTCTTCCCTTCCCCCTTTCTTCCCAGCCTCCCTTCTTTCCTCAAATACCTGTGGAGGCCTATGGTGCCAAGCATCCTTCTGGGGATACAGCTGGGATCAAGCAAGCCCTCCTGGATGTGTCCAGACCCCCACTTCTGGCCCCATCTGAGAGACCACTGAAGGGCCCCAGAGGGGCAAAGCACAGGCCTGAGTGATCTGCAGAGCCAGACACTGCCAGGGCTCTGCCTAGAGCACCAGGGTCTCTCTCCCCTCAAGCCTTCTCTTGTTTCTTGGGGTTCAGTCTGCTCCCCTCCTAGGGACCCTACAAGTATTTGATGGAGGGGCAGCTTAGCCATTTCTGGTTCCCAAGGGGAGAAGGCCAGGCAGGCAAGCTGGGCCTCAGGCAGCTGCAGTGACTCCCACCCCTCCCCAGAACTCTCCCCTCCATGCGCGCACATCTGGTGGGGGAAGGGAGGGTGAGCCAGTGACACACGTGCACCCGGCACCGTTACATCACACACAGCCACACCTAGCACCCCTGACACACCCACTCACCCTTCACACACCCCTGCACACGCACGCGCGCGCACACGTACACTCCATCCTGCTGAGCCCCCCTCCCTCCTACTTGGGTTCAGACCCAGTCTCCGGGAGGTCCCACCTCCTCTCTCTCTCTCTCTCTCTCTCTCTCTCTCTCTCACAGCATATACAGCCAAAGAGGCACACACACCCCCAGCACACATGCACACCGTCAGACACACATCACACTCCCGCAGCCCCCCCTACAGCCCACCCCGGCAGACACACGTGCACGCTCACACACACACACACACACACACACACACACTCTCCTTCAGTCTGGACCGGCCGACCTGCTCCTCTGGCTCCCTCACGCGGGGCTCCTCGGCCGGGTCCCCCCCGAGAAGGGGCGGTCGCGGTGGCCGCCAGCTGGACAGCGCTCCTCGCGCAGTCTCGCCCTTCCTCTGGCTTGCGCCGGCTCGGGAGATTCGGACCCCGCTCTCCACAGTCCCTCAGCTCCTCCGGCTACCGCAGCCTCGCCGACCCGCTGCGCCCCAGTCTGCCCCGGCCTGGCCGCGGCCAGCAGCGCGCTCGCAGCTGAGAGGCCCGCTCGGCTCCGCTTGGCTCGGCTAAGTCTCCGCGCTCCCTCACCGCGGTGCCGCCTCCTGGCTGTGCGCCTGGCTCCCCGGCCCCGCGCCCGCGCCGGGGCTCCAAGGCAGCCGGGCTCTTACGGCCCTCCCTCCTGCTCCGCGCCCTCCTCCCTCTCTCTCGCTCCTACCCAGCCCACTGCCCGCGATCCGCCCCCCTTCCGGGCGGACGCGCACAGCAGCGCCCAGCCGCGGCAGCCTCGGTGCCTGGCTCCACGAGCACACATTCACCCCGGGCTGCCAATCAGCCTCGGCGAGCTCGGGCGCCTCGTTCTCAGGTTCTCAGCCTGCTGCTGGCAACCACAGCCCCCCCCCCCCCCCGAGCCGCCCAGCGTACACATTCACAGGCATGCAAATCCCAGGAAACACACATGGGCCAAGACACGGTGCGTGCACACACAGCAGCCTGCCCCGATAGTGCCCAGGTCATAAAAGCCACTCTGTTAAGCTCTTAGTATGAGCAGTATAACCTTACCTTACGAGTCCTTACCACAAGCCTGTGAGTGTCCCCATTTTCCAGGTAGGTAAATTCAGACTCAGGAAATTGCCCAAGATTACAAGCTTGACAAAGACTCGAACGCAGTCTTTCTGCCTGCCCTCTCCACTACCTGGTAGTTTGCAAACACTTGGACTGCTGCAGAGGAGGGCCTCTAACACTTCATAGGTCAACTGCCAAGTGTCAAGCCCTGCTGTAACATTTCTTTTTTGCCAAAGATATCTTTGAAAAATACAGAGTTTTAAAATGTCTGTGGGGAAGAGTAGTGAGCTGAGCTGCTTTGGGAGAGGTAGACTACAACTTATTTCCAACAAGAAGGAGAAGGATAAAATCAAAGAAAGAACATCCATCTTCCAGGGAACGTAAGAGAACCCAAGCTGTCAGCTTTCCGTTGCTGGGACAAAATACCTGACATTCACAACTTAGGGGGAGAGGTCTGTTTTGGCTCATGGCTTCAGAGGTGTCAGGCCATGGTTGGCTGGCTCCAAAGCAGAAGTATCATGGCAGGAGGGCATGGCAGAGAGCTGCTCAGCTCCTGACATCCCTGATGCAAAGAGCAGGGTAAGAACCCGCGACCAGGGAAAGGGACCAAGTCACACTTGCATGACCCACACAAAGACACCAGAAGTGTGCTTTACTAATCTCGTAGACATCTCTCAGACCAATCAAGCTGCCAGTCAAGATTTGCCATCACCCAGGCAGCTGGTCCAGTGAAGAGGAGGACCAAGCACACTGACACTGTGAATGTTTACCACCCAGACAGGCTGTAGCAGTGACCGTCTTAAGGAGTTCTGACCCATATTGTTTTAAGTCTCTAACATGGTTTTTCAAACAATGCTAGTATTAAAAAGCATAGGAGAAAATAAATCACTTCAGGCTCCCTGCACCAATCAAACTTTTCCCTCAAAATCCAGATATCCATCCCACTGTGTACAGAGCACCATGCTGGATGCTATCTGAGTCTCCTCTCTTATTCTGAATCACAAGCCAGAAAGAGAAAACTTACTGTCACTGTTATATTCCTGCCTTTCCAGCTATATCCCCTTTGCTCTGTAAAGTGATGGGCGAGGAGTGGTTAAAAAATTTCCTAGGCTGTGGGATGTAGTATGTGCCTGTAATCCCAGCTACTCAGAATACTGAGGCAGGAGGATGCAGAGTTCAAGGCCAGTTCTGAGCATGAAAGACAGGCTTCTGGGACTCCCTTTCTGATCACAGAACTCCTCCCATGCAACTGATATAAGAAGAAATCAGGGTACCAACTGAGCTCCTCTCAGGACCAGGCAGTGATGAAGACTGGAATTTATTCTGGATCCCCCAACAAAACATTGCAGAGGGCATCCCCTAATTGTACCATTGGGCATTGCTATTGGGCTCCCCTCACCTCCCACACTCCATTAGGAGCTGCCTCAAGACATCATACTAGGGCTCAGTTTCTGGTTGTCTTTCATATGCTTAATAAAAGCTGTCCCACTGGAGACATTTTCTTTGAATCCGTCTCACAGAAAATCTCATTTCCTGCTAATCACGTTCACTTAAAGAATTCTAAATGGAAAGACAGAAATAAACAGCCCTCAGTTCACTAAAATAGCAATCCTTCATGACCAAGTAGGGTGATTCCTAGGAATTTTATTTGGAAAAAGATATTGCAATGGGAAGTTAGGGTTCTGGGTTAAGATGGTGATTGAAAAAAATTAAAAAATTAAAAATTTAAAAAAAATTTTAAAAGATGGTGATTGAATCCATCATCTAATTCCACTCTCTCCCAAAACTCTATTAAAACTTCAGTAGAGAGGTTTTTAAATCAAGAGATAAATCTCTAAAGATAGAGTGACAGGGAAAAGAGACAACAGCAGCAGAATTTTTGAGACAGGATGCTAGGCAGTCATGCAGCGACTGACTTAGTTAGCCCTGAGGAAAAAGACCTCTAAAACTGGCAGTAGGGAAACTGGGAGTCCACTTGATTTACACTGCATGATTCGCAGAAGGCACAGAAACTGCCAGTCCAAGGTACCTCTGTCTGTAACTGTGGAAGTGGTGCCTAAAGATTAAGGTGAAATGTGTTAGATTCGTAGGTCTCTTTCCTAACTTTAAACCACTGGGCAACAGTCCTTCCCATATTCCAGCCAGGATGTGGAGGTTTTCTTCTGAAGAAGCTAAGACAGAAGACAGTGGGACTGGAGGCTTCTCTCACAGCCGGGCTCCCACAGTGGTGGGAGCAGGATCTTTGTTCTCTAGGCTGGAGACTGGAAGACTCTACCATAGGGCATTTCACCAGCCCAAGGGGAAAGACCCCTAGAAATTGGTTCTGCAAATACAGTCCAGGCAGATCATTCTACAGAGCCAAACTCATCCTGTGAGCTTGGAATCTCATACAGCACCCTCCAACCTTAATCATGACCCAAGATCATCAGACATCTAGGACATTTTCTAACACAAAAGAGAGACACAAAACAAACAACAGAAAAAGAGCATGGAACAAACAGAGAGAAAGGGGGCATCAAAAAGACTGTCTACTAATAGCTATAGGGAATGAGATGATGGTACATCCATGATATAAGAGTAAGATACCAACCAGGTGCTGTGGTGCATACCTGTATCCTAGGTTCTAGGGAAGCTGAGGCAGGAGGATCACAAATTCAAGGCCAGCTTCAGCAACTTATGAAGGTCTTATCTCAAAATAAAATAAAAAGGGTTGGTGATGTCTCTCAGTGGTAAAGCACAAGCCTAGATGCACAAGGCCCTGGGTTCAATATCCAGTATGAAAAATAAAAAATAAAAACAAAAACAAAAACAAAAGAACAATAAAAAAACAAGATTTCATACAAAGGAACATTCAGAGATTCAGAGAATGGCAATAGCAATAATAATGTTTTAGAAAATAAAATCTCAAGGAGATAGATCCTTTGTAAATGGGAGGGGACCAAAAGATAAGGGAGGAGAAGGAGAGGAGACATAAAAAGAATTAAGATGTGTTATGTACATGTACCCACTCCTCATGATGAATGTAATCATTATGTATTAATAAAAATTTAAAAATTTATAAAAAGAAAAGAAAGCCACGGCAGCAGAAACAAAAATCTTGTAGAAAATCAGAAGATAACATTGATTAAATTCCCCTAAGAAGTAAAATAAACATACTAAGAGATAGAAAATATAGGACAGAAAAAATAAGCACATAAGAAGATAATTCCAGGAGATCAATATCAAAGTAATAGAAGTTTTAAAAAGCAAAACAAAGGTCAGAGGAAATCATCAATTAACTAATTCAAGTAAATTTTCCAGAACAGAAGGACCTGAGTTGCCATATCATAAGTCCACCAAGACTCTGGCATTGTGGATGAAAATAAACTCATACCAAAGCATATTAAGCAGAAGAGTCTAGAAACTTCTAGAAAGAAAAGGGTAATGTACAAAGTATCAAATATAAGAAATTATATGAATTTCTCATCTGCATTACTGGAAGTTAAAAGCAATACTTTTTTTTTTTTTTGTACCGGGGACCAAACTCAGGACCTTGCACTTGCCAGGCAGGCAGCAGCACCACTGAGCTAAACCCCTGGTCCTAATACTTTTTAATTTTTGAAGATGTCTTTCAATCTAGAATTTAAACACACTTAAACTGTCAACCAAATAAGAAGTCATAACACATACATTTTCAGACATAGGACACTTACCTCCCACGCAGAATTTCTGAGAAAGCTACTAGAGAAAGTGCTCCACCAAAACCAGGAGTAAAACAAAAGTAGGAGATGCAGAATGCAGGAAATAGAGATCCAGCACATGAGAAGATGGTGAAGAGAGATACCAGGATGTCAGCTGTGCACCACAAGGAGAAGAACATCAGTTCAGATTAAAGCTATGTGACTAACTCAGCAGGCAGGCATATTGACAGCTGTCATTTCCAAGGTTCCTTGCTGCCAGAGTACCGTTTTTGGAACCTCAGTGCAGGATACCTGGCAAGCCTGGCCTCCATTCTTACTTGTACTTGCTTTCTCCTGACCAAGGGTTATAATTTACAAGGTTCCCTTCATCCTCTGCTGCCTGTTCAAGTGTTCTTCTCTGATCTGCTCCTGAGAGAAGGACACGAGAGCAAGATCCAAAGCAGAAAGCAGCCTGCTGCCCTGACCATATTCCATCTAGAATATGCCACAAGCCCCCATTGCAGTGAGCTCTGTCTTTCCCAGGACTCCATCATAACCTTGCCCATTGATCTTCTCAGAAAACCTTGTAAACCTTTAGGGAAGCTAGAGAAAGCCACACCAAGACCTACAGGTGCTGTCCAGCATGTCTTCGCCTAGGAATTTGCATCTAGAACAAAACGTCCTTTCCTTTCCTGGCTTCCTATGCTTGTTTCTCAGTACTGTTTAGCAATACACACATACGGGATGAAACCATTAAAAGGCAAAGGAAAAAATCAAGCTGAAAGTGGAGGGAATTACTCCTGGGTAGGAGAAGCAAGGATGGAGTCATTAAGACAGGATGGTTCCTCTAAGAGACTGATCTTGTGTTTTGTTTTGTTTTAAGACAAGGTCTCACTTTGTAGTACAGTCTGGCCTTGAACCCACTATGTAGCCCAGGCTGGCCTCAAACTCATGGCAATCCTCCCAAGTGCTGGGATCATAAGCTGAGCTGGTTTTATTTCTTAACCTATATACTAGATGCATGGGTGTTCATTTGCCTATTTTTTACTTATTTTAATTTTATCTTTATTTTTTTGGTGCTGAGGATGGAACTTAGGGCTTTGTGCATGCGAGGCAAGTGCTGTACGCTGAACTGCCCTCCCCATTTTCTTATTCTTTGAA